TACATCACACTCACTTGGAAAAAACATAACTCTTGTTAATTCCAGCTTTCTCCTTTCTCCAGACCTATATCCATGCTGGATGCCTGCAAAAACATGTACAATTATATATTAGTCTTACTTTAAATTGATGATGAAAGCCCCCAAGTGAGCTCTTATGTTGTCCAGTAACCACATTGTATTTCCTGGTCCATTCATGTTCCTTCTCTCCGAGAAGAGCTTCTCTCTCACAATCCTCCAACGCTTCCTCATCCTCACAATTGCCTAATTAACTGGCATCCTATTTCACTGAAAGATGAAGCATTTAGAAAGATAATTCTATAACTCCTGCCACTAAATCCGCCTACTTACCAGTATTTTCACCAACATTCTATGCCTTATTTCCTGTTTGTTTAGATGAATTCTCTATGCTTTTTTTTTTTTTTTTGGCTGCATTGGGTCTTCGTTGCTGTGCGTGGGCTTTCTCTAGTTGTGGCGAGCGGGGGCTACTCTTCACTGCGGTGTACAGGGTTCTCATTGTGGTGGCTTCTTTTGTTGCAGAGCATGGGCTCTAGGCACGTGGGTTTCAGTAGTTGTGGCACGCAGGCTCAGTAGTTGTGTCTTGCAAGCTCTAGAGCACAGGCTCAGTAGCTGTGGCACGCAGGCTTAGTTGCTCTGTGGCATGTGGGATCTTCCAGGACAAGGGTTCGAACCCGTGTCCCCTGCACTGGCAGGCGGATTCTTAACCACTGGGCCACCAGGGAAGCCCAATTCTCTATGCTTTTATCTGGAGCCATTACCTCCACATGTGCAACAGATCCAGTTCTGCTCACCAGCGCTAGAACACTGTTTCAGCAACTCTCCTACTTCTTTTATACATTATCAGTAACATTAGCCCCTCTTTATTTGATTATTCCCATAACTGTGCTATTTTTCCTAGCTTCAAAAATTATAAAAAAAAAAACCCTCTTGACCTACATCTCGTTCCAGCTACCACTCCATTTCTATGTTCCTCTTTCCAGAAAAATTCATTGTCAGTGCCAACTCTTAATTTCTCACCATCTAATCTTTTAAACCCTCTTGAATCAAAATTCCTCTCCCAACACTCACCCAAAATTGCTTATGTCAACATCATCAATGGCTTTCACTTATTAAATGCACTGGTAATTTCAGTCTTCATCTTATTTGAACCATCAGCAACACGTGATTGATTATTACCTTTGCTAGGCTTTCAGGCCACCATGCTCTTATTTTTCTCTTCCCTCACTGTTCATTCCTTCTAAACCTCTTTTGCTGGTTCATTTTCTGCTCCTGACCTTTTAGTCAATGTTCCATAGAGCTTGGACGTTAATTCTCTTTTCTATCTGCACTCACTGACTCAGTAAACTCATTCAGTCCAACAACTTTAAAATATCATCTATAGGGCTTCCCTGGTGGTGCAGTGGTTGAGAATCCGCCTGCCAATGCAGGGGACACGGGTTCGTGCCCGGTACGGGAAGATCCCACATGCTGTGGAGCGGCTGGGCCCGTGAGCTATGGCCACTGAGCCTGTGCGTCCGGAGCCTGTGGTCCACAACGGGAGAGGCCTGTGCACCGCAAAATATATATATATATATATATATATATATATATATATATATATATATATATATCGTCTATATTAGAAAATGTCAAATTTATATCTTCACCCCAAAGCTCATTCCTGAACAGCAAATTCATATGTCCAAGTGTACATGCAATGTTACACTTGAATATCTACTAAAGATCTATTTATGTTTCCTAAGCTGAACTCCTCTCCCTCATCACATCTCTCCCACCTATAATCTTCCCAGTTTTGCTTGATGACCAAATGAACTTTGAATTCTTCAGGCTAAAAATTTCTTAATTCCTTTCTCTACTCAACCACACATTTAATTCCTCAGTAAATAATGTTGTGTATAACATGTACTATAACATACATATGCTACATATGTGTGTTATCGGCACATTTTCCAAAACTTCTGTTACAATTTGGTTGAACAGTCATCATAACTCACCTGTGTCATTGTGCAAACTCACTAACTTGCTCTCATGCCTCCACGCTTGCCCTGCTAAAGTCTGGTTTTAATATAGCAAGTAAAGTGATACCTTAAAATGTAATTCAGATCCTGTTATTTCTCTGCTCAGAACTTTCTAATATCACCCCAATTCTTTCAGAGAAATTACTTAGATCATTATGGAAGACGGTGGGACCCTCGGTCATCTGGCCTCCAGTGACCCGTTTTCTACTCTTCTCCCCCTAACTCCTTCAAACCCAATAATATTGGCCAATTTGCTCTTCCTCAAATAGCCAGAAATGCTCTCACTTTAGAGATTTTGCAGTGGCTCTACCTAGAATGCTTTTTCCCCATATGTGTTCAGGACTAGCTCTCTTTATCTCTTCTAAATATTTGCAAGAATGTATTTCACAGTGAAGCCTACTCTCACCATCCTAGTTAATATTGCAACATACTGTGTCATTTTACATCACTTTATTGCTTTCTTTTTTCAAAAGACTTATCATATTCATGGTTTCTCCTCAGAAAGGCTCCATGAGGACATGTTATTTATTTATTTAAATCCCTGATGTTATCTCAAGCGCCTAGAATAATTCCTGTTACTGAGTGAGTACTAAATGCCTATGAGTTCAGTGAATGAATGGCCCCTCTCTTACAGTAGAGGTTAGCAGTTCTCAAAGTGTGGTCCATAAAAACCTGAGCGTCCCCCAAATCATTTCAGGGCCCATGAGATCAAAACTCTTTTAATAAGGATACTAGGACATGATTTGCCTTTTTACCATGTTGCATTTGCTCTGCTGCTGCCATTGTATGCTTCACAGCCATACATAAACAGAAAAAAAGGAAGCCTGTTTCAACTAAGAATGCCCTTACTAACACAGTAAAACATTAATTTTAACCAATGTCTACTCTTGACTAAATACTTTTTCAGTATTTTCTGTAATGAAATAGGAAGTAGGTATAAAGCACTTCTGGTGTGTATGGAAGTATCATGGTTGTCTGAGAGAAAAGCTCTGTGCAAGTTGAATTAGCTGCTTTTTTTCTAGGAATAGCTTTTTATTTGAAAAAATAACTTAGAGATAAAATACGGTTATTCAGACTTGAATATTTGATAGGCATTTACACAAAAATGAATAAGGTGAGACTGTCAATTCAAGGAAAACAACTGACAGTATTTATTGTTAATGATGACATTCAAGCCTTCAAGCACAAATTAGAATATTGGGAAGCATGTATTCACTACTGTGAACTTGACAGCTTCCCCATTACTCAAAGACTTTTCTGATGAGATCAGTGGTCATATTAAAGCATTTGATTTTTTTTCTTGATATTCTGTAATAAAATGTGTCAACATTTGAAAAATCTGCAATATTCAGTGAACCAATATTTTCCAAATGACCAATGCAAGATGTTAAAAAAAAATTCAAAGATAAAAAATCCATTCAAAGTGCAAGATAGATAAATGTATTTTAATGTAACTGAACATGGTTTTAGATTTTTCACACTGAAACTCACCTTGAAGAAACTTCCACTTGAGTTTTGGTGGAGTATTGAAGAAAATATACACAATTATCTTTAAAAAATTCTTAAGATACCTCTTCTTTTCAAGACAAGTGAGGTGGCACCAGAGACAGGAGAGATATTGTCCAGTCCAAGCAGTAAATTGTGTGGGTCTCCTATTCATTGTATAATATGTTAGCTATGTGGCTTCCGAGCACTTGAAATGTGGCTAGGTTGCATTTGGATGTACTGTGTAAAATACACACTGGACTTCAGAGACTTAACATGAAAAAAAAAAAGTAAAAAGTCTCCTTAATAAGTTGTTTTAGATTGATTACATGTTGGAATGATAATATATTGAATATATTGAGTTAAATGTATTATTGAATTAATTTCACTAGTTTTTATCTTTCTATTGTGATTACCAGAAAATTGAAAATTATGTATCTGACATGTTTTTGTGTCTCACATTATATTTCTATTGGACTGCCTATCTAAACTATATGAAGTTGGGAGTCCACCTGCTGATGCAGGGGACACGGGTTCGTGCCCCGGTCTGGGAGGATCCCACATGCCGCGGAGCGGCTGGGCCCGTGAGCCATGGCCGCTGAGCCTGCGCGTCCAGAGCCTGTGCTCCGCAACAGGAGAGGCCACAACAGTGAGAGGCCCGTGTACCACAAAAAAAAAAGAGAATGAATAGAAAAAAGGGGAGTTATAAGAGGTTTATTAGAAAGAATTAAAAGGATTTAGAAGTAATAAAGTATGTAAATTGATAACCTCTGTTTTTGGAATTATGCGCTGCACAAATGTTACTTTTCTTTTTTCCTTTTGACAATACCTAGTAATTTTAATCCATTACAAAGATCAATCCCAATAATGATAAAAATAATTTTTTGGAAAAACTTTCATTAGTAATTAAGGTATAAAGAATTAAGTGAAGCAACTTTAAAGTAGAATTTTTTAAGTGTTTAGTATAATAAATTGATGTGTATTTCTGAAAGTATTTGCATAAAGGCTATACTAGAAAAGTAACATAAAGCCTAGTAATCTTAAATATATAAATATCTTTGCTATAGATGGTATAAGAAACCAATGATTCAGGGACATATAATATTTTTGAAAGATCAAAATTTAAGCTATAATAGCTTATTGTCTTCATTTTCATAGTTAAACTGTGTACCTTCTACATGAATAATATGTCAATACTTTAAGGAGATTTTAAATTTTAAATTAACAATTTATAGGTAAATCTAAGAAAACTACTTTTGTAGTTAAATGCAGTCTGAGTTTTGTATCTTATCAGAATTAAAAATACATTATTATTTTATTTTAAGAGTACAAAAGCATGTTTTCAAAATAATTAAGTTCAGAAAATATTTTTGATAAATTGTAAGCTTAATATGTATATGTTCCAGAGGACCTTAAATCTTAATTCATTTTGTTTAACAAATTAAAAATTCCTTTTGAAGTAATTTATCCTTCTGAATAAAGAGAAAGTACTGGCAGTCCTTTAAAGGCAAATGATAGAGTTACTTGTATCTGCAAGGCCAAATTTTGCTTCCAAATAGAGTCCCTAGCACTTGAATTGATTGCATTACAACAGTTTACTTGTAAATCAACTTCCAAAACTCAGAACTTATGTACACTAGGGGAAATTTTACCATTTCCCTGCACCAAATATAACTAACATTCTAGTTTTTCATTGTTCTACAATTAGTGAAAATCTAACAGCTGTGTGTAATAAATCCCTGGGTGTCTGTCTTGGTAGGCTGATTGTGTAACAGAAAACTCTAAAATTTCAGTGGTTTAAACTAACAAGTTTTATTTTTCTTTCACATGACACAACAATGAGAGCATATATGGTTGGGTGGTGTTCTTGACAGTTCTCTTGCAAATGTTTCTGTGCCCTTCTCTGTGGCCTCTCTATTCAGATAGAGATTGGGAAAGAAAGGGGAAGTTCACTCATGAGGCAGATTTAAGAATATTTTTTTCTTCCTTTCCACTAACTTTCCATTGGTCAAAACTCCATCATATGGTTCCACTAAACTCCAGAGGAAGTTGAGAAATCTACTCTTGTTGAGAAAACAGTCCATGATTACTATTTGTTCCAGGTTGTTTGCTTTTGACCAGAATTTTTTTTTTACCTTTCCTGGTCCAATGTTGAAAGGAAGGGAAAAAAAGATAAGGAAGGAAGGAAGAAAAGAAAGAAGAAAGAGAGCAAAGGAAGGAAGAAAGGAAACACATTTGCACAAATCTCATATATATTTTTCTAGAGATTTTTACCATGTATTTTTACTACTAAAAACTAAAACAAAAAACAGAAAACAAAACAAAAAAAACACAAAAAACCTTATATGTAATTTCTGTCTGTTTTTTTATTTAGGACCAATACAAAAAGATAAAAAGACAAAATTACAGAAAATCTGTGATAATCCCTAATTCTAATGAACTTAGTTTTTTTTATGTGTGTGGAGACACAATCAAGATTCACGTACATGTTTAAGGGAAATTTAAACATTTGATCCCAGATGCCTGTAATGAGTTAGGGGTACAGGATTGGAACTGCCAATGTTAGCGATTTGCTCACAGGTGATAATAAGATAGACACCTGGGTAGTGGGCAGACATGAATTATTAGGCCCACAAAATGGTTTGAAAGATTTCAAATTAGTTGTAAATATTTCACATAGTATTTCTTTTCCTGAAAAATGGGAAACTCCAGGAAATCTGCACCTGTTTTCCCACATGGCAACATTCATTAGAGATGAGTAGTAGCTGACCTCTTCAGAGGAGTTGTATGCTCTCTGATTTGAGAGACTTCCAATTCTCCCTATTATTTCATGCTTTTGGCTACTTCACTCATTTAGGTTACCTGCCTGGTCCCTGAAAACATTTGAGTTTGTGACTCCTGATAGGGCATCTATGGGCAACTATATTTGCAGCCTATATCAAAAATATATATAAACATGAAGTTATTCCCTAGTATAAATTATATTCAGATATATGGTGCTAAATGTATCTAATCCAGAGTATCCAATTCATGGTCCTGGTGTATATGTATTTACACAATTTTAATTGTGTAATGTATGTGCAGCACAGTGTATGATTTGACTTTACATTTTTTACATCTGTATTGGGTAATAGTAAAGATCACATATTCTGGAGATTATGCTTATTTGGGCCCAGGTTATTAATGGCTCTTTATTAGTTTTTATATTTAAAAATTGGAATGATAGTCATAACTACCTGATATGGTGATTTATAGAATTACGTAAGTGCTAATTCCTGTAGAGCATTGAGAAAAAGAGTAAATGATACATTGTAAGCAGAGAATAAATGCTATTGTTTTTATTCCATTTTTCTAAATAAGAACATAGAATGGACTCTGTAAATGTTACTTGAAAGAATGGATTCATAAACAGCTGTTAAATTAGTTCATCTTAGCCCTCTCTGTAAGTTTGTATGTATATAGCTCTTTATCTACACAAACATAAAGTTGGCTAAAGCAGACATGAATTCTGTATGGAATAATGGAATGAATTATTCTAACTATCCATATCCCAGATTCTTAGTCACAATGAATAAATGATCTCTTAGGATTTATAAAATCCAAAAGCTGGGTTTTCCATTTTTCTGAGTGTTCTTAAATAACCCAATTAAAGAAACATACAAAACCACCTTCGTTTATGCTTTTGTAAAAGCCAAGAAAACAAACGCATAAACCAACAACAGTCGAAGTCACTTAGGGTTCTGTAACTTCTAAGTAAACAATTAGTCTGTCATTCTCAACCTGCTTCAACATACCTAGTAGAGATTGTGTAGCTAGAAATATCATTTATTCCTAAATTTATAAATGGGGAACCACTATGCATAGTAGGGAAGGAAAGATGTTAATTTTTGATTATAGAAATGCTAATGAGTAAAAGCCAAATGAATTCTGTTTTTTCTTCTTTCAGGTCTCTGTGGTCAATCAGCTGGATATGCAAGTCATTGTTTCTAATGTACCCCCTACTCTAGTGGAAAGAAAGATAGAAGATCTTACAGAGTAATGGTTTTTCTTTACTTATATGTTTATTTTCATGTGGCTATAGTTTTTATTGAATTAAGTCATTTTAATAATTACAGTGTTCAGACTAAATTATATTTTATAATACCTTCTTAAAAACAATTTAGCTCACTCTTTTATTGAAATAGGTAGCTTCATTTGGAATATGTGAAGATTCTAAGAGTACGTTCAAATAAGAATGAAAATTAGATGTGAGAAGATCTTATTATTCAGAATGCTTTGACTGATGGGTCAACATAAACTCAAAATGCTGCATATAACAAATAAATCATAACTTAATTATTTGAGTATATGTCTTGATTTTGTGGCCCCAGATTCTTGAAAAAGCTCATTATCTCAGTAATCCAGCTAGTCTGGGGAATGCTATTTCTCAAAGTGATGTATCTAGATGGCTACAGCTTATTCTTTTAAAAACTAAGATTGCTAATTTTAAACAACATATATTTAAATTATTCTAAAATGTATGTCATTCCCCTCTGCCGTTTGAACAGTGTACACTGTACATGGCTGAATATGTTATTGTTGACTCAGACAAATTGTGATTATGAATTCACAGTTCTCTAATATTCTAAATGTTATCAAGGATTATTAAAATGTCTTTAGTATTTCACTCTTAACTACCCTAACCTAGCCTTCCGTCATTTAATAATTTTATAGTTGTATTTGTTAGTTATTCCTTGTCTTCTGTTGAGTTCATGTTGACAGATGTCAATTACTGTCAATTTGTCTCTTTTGAGCAAAATATCTTACACTTCCAAGTTGCCAGAAGAAGCTTCAGATAGTCATACAGCTAACCTTTTAGTAATTATGAGTGAAATAAAATACAATAGGCACTGATTAAGGCATGGAGACTCTCCTGTAATAAAAGCATATGTGCTTTGCAACCATTACTTGTTAATGTTTCACAAGATTTAATCTATGGGTGTCACATAAAATGTCCTATGAAAGAGGTGATTATCAACATTTAAGTGTAGAATAGCAGTCACACAGTGTCTTGTTTACTTCTGCAAAAGTGGTTTACACATGCTTAACCTTTATTAAAATAATAGCTGATTACACCTGAAAAAAGTTAGAATTATGCCTGTCTCTTAGCTGCTTTAATGTCATCTGTTGAGGCAGGCTTTTCTGATTACCCTATCCAAAATAGATGACACTCTTCTCAACCTCTAACCCTTTGTTCTGCTTTTGTTCAAAGCATTATTTAATGTTTATATTTATATCAATTTAATATAAGCTTCATAAGGATAGGAAATCTACTTTTCACTACCATAATTCAAGTTATATATTAAGCACTTGATGCATTTTACTGAATGAAAATGTTATACAAGCAAAATCATGATGCCCTTTTCTTCATATTGAGACAAAATTTATAAAAACTGGAAAAATGGCAATGTAAAAGTATAATTTCATAGCAATTATATGATTTATTCCTCTTACATGGATATGAAGATTATGAACGAGAAAAATCAGGCATCTTTCAAGTCTTGAGAGAATATATGACTCTGAAAGGAGCTTTGACTTCATATAAATACTGGTTTTGAAACATGAGCTTGGGCAAATAATTTAATCTTCCCCAGACTCATTTTCACCACTTGTTGACCAGATAAAACTCCTGTCATAGAACTGTTGTGAGAACTAAATAATATAAGCCAGTGGAAATTGGAAACAATGGAAATTGTGAACATTCAATGAATAATAGATATCCTATACAAATGAGGTTAGTGATCCAAAGTCAGTAGGGTAAGGCAGAGAGATGCCAGAGTTTTTGCATGTTCTATTAAAAGAGCATAGTTTAGTAATGGAGCTCAGATTATGGATTCAAATAAACAAGTTTGAATCCTGTTATAGCTGTGTGACCTCTGAGAAAGATATTTAACACTTAGGACCACATTTTCTCATCTTGAAAACTGGAATAAGGATGTCAATCTTGTGTTGCTTTTGATAGAATTAAACATAAATTTGCTAGTGCAGTAAGCACAGCAGGCACATGCCAGGTTCCCTTTTATAGTTTTTTTTTTTTTTTACAATCTGTGTTAATTTAGAGATTCTTAAGCACAACAAATTTGGATATTTTTTTAAAAAAAGAGGCTTTATTTTGCAGACCACTTTTATGTTCATAGGAAAATAGAGTAGAAGATACAGAGAATACCCATATACTTCTTTCCCCCACACATATAGCTTACCTCACTATCCACATCTTACACCAGAGTAGTGCATTTGCTATAATCAACAAACCTAGTTCGACACGTCATAATCATCCCCAATCCATAATTTGCATAGGGTTCACTCTTGGTGTTGTACATTCTGTGGTTTGGACTAATGTATAAAGACATATATCTATCACTGTAGTATCATACAGAATAGATTCACTGCTCTAAAAAATCCTCCATGCTCCACCTATTCAAACCTCCCTTCCCCACTAACCCCCAGAAATCAGTGATCTTTTTACTATCTCCATAGTTTTAGCTTTTCCAGAACATAATACCCTTGGAATCATATAGTATGTAGTCATTATGATTCCTTTTTGAAAGCTACTTTAGTAGACGGAAGATGGAAGTAGAGATAAAGACTGTTAGATCTAATCCAGCACCATGAAGCCCAAAACGCTCACTCTCAGTGTCTTGGGGTGGCCGGGAGGGGATGAGGAGGGCATAATGAAAACATACATATAGCCAAGGTAGACAGCAGAGTACCAATTTATTAATTAAAAATAGGAATGGGTTAGGGAGGATGGGAGGGAGACGCAAGAGGGAGGAGATATGGGGATATACGTATATGTATAGCTGATTCACTTTGTTATAAAGCAGAAAGTAGCACGCCATTGTAAAGCAATTAAACTCCAATAAAGATGTTAAAATATATATATAGGAATTTATTGTTCCAGTGACCAGACTAACGAACACATTCATTTCCTGTAGACGTTCTTAGATGACTAATCACATCATCATCAAAGCCATGTTCTGTATTTCCTATGAGACTTAACCCTATCTTAAGAAGGGAAAACTTGAACTGCATATGATCATCACTTTTATTTTTTCCTTTAGGTAGACCCATATATGAGGCCATATATGAGGCCAGATCATAATCCAAAGTTTTTCTGATAAGAAAAAAATAAGTACAAATTGGGAGAGTTGATGAAAGAAAAATTTCATGATCTAATATATCCATTTCATAATAGTGAAGGTTTTTCAGAAGGGGTCAGTATCCTTTGATAGCTAAGAGCACAGTGCCTGGAAAACAGAATGCTCAAAGAGTAAATGTTAGCTGCTATAGGAATGCTAATAATTACTTCCCACTCCCTTGGAACTGGCTGAAATGGCTCTACTGAACAAAATTTTTATTACTTTGTTTTTTAATGCTTATAGAATTAACCAGTGACCCTTTGTAATGAAACACATCTCTTTTTAATTATATTAATGTATTCAGCAAATTCCCCCATAATGTGAAGCTATCTATGCCCCTTACAAGTGGCCTCACATGTGTATGTTTTGAAGAATTTTAGGTTGACCTTAGCATGTATCTCTTTGTGAGCCTTGTTTTTCTCTTACAAATTCGTGAGGTTGAGTAGAAATAGCTGTGAGGATAGGGTTAAGGAGACCTTATTATAACCTAGAAATGATTGGCAGTAATGTCTAAAGAAGCTAAGAAATGTTTGCATTTTGTGTCTTCTTCCTTTCTCTTTCCACTTCACCATGAAGCCCAGATAAATAAAAGAAGTTTGGGATTCTAAAATTTAAATCCTTAAGAATCTGTGGAAATGGCATTTTCAAAAATATAAATAAAAGAGTTTAGAAATATTGTGTTACAGTATGAATCAGAATTGATAACTTAGATCTTGGAGTTGATCAAATGCTTCTCTTACTTTCTAAATACAATATGAAAATTCAGTGAAATCAGGACTTTATTGATGTAGTTATTGCTTTGGTTTGGAAGAGTCTATTTCCTAGAATATTTACATAGCATATGAAATGTGTAATTAATTTATAGCTCCTGCAATTAAGGTTCCAAACATACTTTAGAAATCTAGCCAAAATATGTATTTCTGGGATAAGAATTATAAAGTCTCTTGGGAAGAAAACCTACGAAACAGTAAAAAATAAGTGCCAGCACTTACGTTGTCTTAAATCTGCATAATAAAGACTTGGTGTTGAGGGGAAAGGTGAAGTTGAAAGGTAAATCAATAAACACATTATCTGGGCTTCCCTGGTGGCGCAGTGCTTGAGAGTCCGCCTGCCGTTGCAGGAGACGCGGGTTCCTGCCCCGTTTCGGGAAGATCCCACATGCCGCGGAGCGGCTGGGCCCGTGAGCCATGGCCGCTGAGCCTGCGCGTCCGGAGCCTGTGCTCCGCAAATGGGAGAGGCCACAACAGTGAGAGGCCCGCATAACGCAAGAAAAAAAGAAAAAAAAAAAAATAAAAAAAAAATAAACACATTATCTTTGATCATTTTTACCTACCCTTTGCTTTAGAGTTGAGGAGCTCAGGGAACTTTCTATAATGGGATATATTAATGGTTTAGTAAGTATAAATTTAAAAATAATATTTTTACTTTTAATAATGTTATTTAAATTTTGTTATTTCATTAAGTTAATTCTTTTTATTATAATATTTAAATGTTAACAATAATTAGTAATTTATATAGCAAAATCCTTTTGCAAATAAAACTTTATTTCCAAAAAGAGGTAGTAGGCTGGATTTAGCCTGAGGACTCTAAGTTAGCAACTCTTAATTTAGAGCATTATACTTTGTAGAGAGAAAAAGTTACAATGCATATCTATTCTATTCAGACTCCTATAGGAAAACACATTGGGGAGCATCTTGTGTGAAATTCCCAAGTAATATATATTAATATTTTTTTCCTAGGAAGGCTGTTCCTTTTGATTTCAGAGGACCTAGGCTCAAGCCCTGGCCCACCAGTGACTAGGAGGTCTTGGGCCAGGAAATTAAACTTTTTGATTCCTTAAAGCTGGCAATTTAGTCATTAAAAGAAGGGTAGGGCTTCCCTGGTGGCGCAGTGGTTGAGAGTCTGCCTGCTGATGCAGGGGACACGGGTTCATGCCCGGGTCCGGGAGGATCCCACATGCTGCGGAGCAGCTGGACCCGTGTGCCATGGCCACTGAACCTGCGCATCCGGAGCCTATGCTCCGCAACGGGAGAGGCCACGCCAGTGAGAGGCCCGCGAACCGCAAAAAAAAAAAAGAAAAAACAAGGGTAGTTCCTGGTTGTAAGCACTGTAGATTTAACAGTGAACTAAAGCAAAGTCCCCGTTCCCATGATGCTTACATTCTGTTGGGGGAAAACAGCAAATAGAATAAGAATAATAAATTAATTTATAATGTGATGCTAAGTAGTGATAACTATGATAAAGACAAATAAAAGTAACAATATAAAAATATGGAAGAGAAGTACTATTTCATATAGGATGATTGAGGAAAACCTTTCTAATAAGGTGAAAGCTGAGCAGAAACCTGAGAGAAGTGAGGGAGAAAGTCATGGGTCTGTGGTGATGTGGGGAGGGTTAGGGGTGGAGGGAGTTATCCCAGAAAGAGGACACCACAGATATGAAAATCAAGATTAAGGGGCATGCTGGTCATATCAAGATATAGATGTCAAGGTAGGGAATGAGTTATATAGGATCTCATAGGCCACTTGAAGGATTTAACATTTTACTCTGCATAAGATAGAAAATCCTTATAACTGTCCAATATAGTAGCCACTAGTTCCATGTGGTTATCGAGTGCTTGAAAAGTGACAGGTCCAAATGAGAGGTGCTGTAAGTGTAAAATACACACCAGATTTCAAATACTTAGTACAAAAAAGAAAGTAAAATATCTCCTTAATATTTTTATATGGATTACATACTGAAATGATCATTTTTGGATAGATTTAGTTAAGTAAATACATTAAATTAATCTCACCATTTTTAATTTTCTAATGTGGCTACAAAAAATTTGAATTTACATGTGTAACTTGCATTGTATTTCTTTTGGGCAGCATTGCTTTAAATGTTTTGCACAGAGAAATAACATTCTAGCTTAAGTTTTAAAAGGTTGTTGAGTGGGAGATCAGGAGACAAGTTATGAGTCTAGAGCAGTAGTCCAGGAGAGAGATCAATGTGGCTTGGACTGGTGGTAGGTATGGATATAGGAAGGGGTTAAGTTTAAGGTATATTTTTGAAGGTACAACCTACCGAATTTGTTATGGATTGGATGTATGAGAAAAGGTAAGAAACAATAATGACTCCTAGGTGTTGGGTCTGAGCAAATAAACAAAATAAAAATATTTGCCATACTTGGACACTGAAGAATTTGATAAAATTATACATGGCGAAAGTAATGGTGTGTTCTTAGAGAGGATTGATTTTATTTAGCAATAGTTGATTCACATCCATAAAGACCCCAGATGTCAGCTTGCACTCTCACCATCGCCCTGATGGTTTCCCAACTTGGTGATGGATTAAAACTCCATTATCTATTACCCACAGTCACTTTTTTAGCCCTACATTAATATTATTCTCTTTTGTCTCATTTATTCCATGTGAACTGAGTATATTATATGTATCAGGTAAGGTGCTGATATCAAACCAATGAAAATCTGTTAAAAAATATAAGCCCAGCTGGGACATATGAAATATATTATTGAATTGAAAGTTTTGTTGTGTAGTTTTTCTTATCTGCTGTATGCTAAATAGAATTGCTATAAATGTTTCCAATCACATGCCAATTTTGTTCAAGTATCCTTAACACAAAGATGTAGTTGAAGTTGAAGAGGTTATCAACAGAGAATGACCATAAATGACCTAATTTTATCAGATAGTAAAGCACAGACATTTCAATAGCACAGCTTTGGGAAGTAACATTTTCTGTAATAGGCATATAATAGCTGTAAAATAAATTGAAACCAGTGATAAAATAAAATATAAACTTGAAATAAAATGAAATCCTACTTGTTAATATTCAAGGTATAAGTTATGATTCTTTTTAAAAAAGATAAGTGTAATTTGGTTTTATTCAAAGTCTACGTGATTCATCGTTGTGACACAAAAGGGATGCATCTACTGTTTTTCTGAAATACTTAGTTTGGGACTTTATTTTGATAGAGAAAGAAGTAACTTCCTGCCTTTCCAGGAAGAAATACTTACTTTAAACTAATTATGTTATAAGAAGTCATAGGTTTTTTACAAAATTAAGATAGCCCAGAATACAGTATTTTTATCTTAACCTGTTAAACCTGACAAAGCAAAATATCTCTACATTCTCACTGCTATAATGCTCCAAGGGTCTTTACACTCTTAGGAAAAAAGGTATCCTACTGTTGCACCTTGACATATCACAAAATCTGGTGGAAGGTGTAATTTATAACACCAACCATATGAACTCAAGAGTTCTAAGACCCCATGGTTCCCATAAAGCATAGACAGTTTTATTTGTACAACATAGTTGGCATTTCTCATGAGCCATGTGAAAGCTCAAATGGTATCATAAATTTTAAAAGCCTAGACTTAAATATGATATGGTTGATGACCTCTTTCTACCTTATTCAGCTTCTAGCATCATTGGGAGTTAAACGCTCTAAATATATAGAGAACTTTCTTCAAGAGTTCATATTCAGTAACCATTAACAAAAACCAGGCTGTCATCATTTTTCATTTACTAAATGTCATTTCAGGTTGAAGGTGATTTTTTTTCCTCAGCGAGCCTGTCAGAATGTCATGTTTGTGCTTTGTTTGATTTACAGGATTTTGGATCGCTATGTTCAGGAGCAAATTCCTGGTGCCAAGGTTGTGGTAGAGAACGTTGGAGCTCGCCGGCATGGCGATGCCTTTTCTCTAGAAGATTACACAAAGTGTGACTTGACTGTCTATGCAATCGACCCCCAAACCAACAGAGCCATCGACAGAAATGAGCTTTTTAAGTGAGTATTTTTATTGTCTGTAACAGCTTTATGGTTACAGTGTCACCCATAGATAATCCTGATTTAAGGATATAAGTAAATAGTTTAAAACCCATCAAATTTTTCTTGAAAGTGAAGTGTAATCAAAACAAAAGAAAAAAATCTAAGAAACAATACCTAGGGTACTCACACCTAGAATTTTTAAGTCTAAGTATGAGATAAAGTGACTTCGGGGGATCTGTTCTCCTTGAGATGTCTGAGCATCCATTATGCTTAAGAGCAAGAAGCAGTTCACCGAGATCACCTTGCATCGGCTTCCACTCTTGCTCCAAGACCCTGCTCTTTGAGAGGAAACCACAGATCCCTTCTTAAAGTGGCAAGTTGCCTGCAATGATGTCAGTAGGCTTGAATTTTAAGAACAAGCCTAGCTTTCTTCACAGTCTTATTGAATAGGCAAAAATTAACATCTGATTTTTCCCTTGACTTGGGGGTAGAGAACAGGGGGGATAATCACTTCCACCTAAGTCCATGTGACATTTCATCCAGGTATTAATTTGAATATTTGAGTTTTAAATCCTTTTAAAATAAGGAATATACAAAATCTTAAACAAAACCCTGCTACATATTCTCCTTTGGAAATTATTCTAGAACAGCTTTAGTTGTTGTTGTTAGTTTCTCCTTTACTCTAGTGACATCTAGTGTCCAAAAGATTATTGGCATGTAATTCTTAGCTAAAAACATGTTTTGTAGTAAAAATACATATTGATATATAATCATATGTATATATTCTAAATATTCAGAGATGTGTGTATATATAATCTCCAAAATCCATTATTTCAGAATTTAGTTTTTCTTTCTTTGTCTCTCTATATAATAAACATCATGCAAATAAATATATGCATATACAAATTTACATGCATATATCCATATATGGGTGCATGTTTTTATTTAGTAAACATCTATTTACCCATTTATTTATTAAAACTCATAAATTCTGAATTTAGTTTTACTTTATATCTGTTCATCAAAATTTCACTATTTTAGCAGCAATGAAATAGTGATTTATTAGTTTCTTAAAAAGCCATAGTTATTAAGTATTAATAATTAAGTATGTATAATTAATTTATATATAATAGATATTTGGGCGATATGCAAGAGAGTATACTAATCACTATGAAGAAATACAGATTACTGAAGCAATGGCTTCTTCTCAGGATTTAGACTCACCATCCAAATGAAGGAGCATTTAGGTCTACTAAGACAATAATGGCTTACTTTATTAATTTAAAAAATTATTTAGAAATATACTTTTAAAGTAATTTTTATATTCTTTTTTTTTTTTTTTTTTCTTGCGTTATGCGGGCCTCTCACTGTTGTGGCCTCTCCCATTTGCGGAGCACAGGCTCCAGACGCGCAGGCTCAGCGGCCATGGCTCACGGGCCCAGCCGCTCCGCGGCATGTGGGATCCTCCCGAAACGGGGCACGAACCCGCGTCTCCTGCATCGGCAGGCGGACTCTCAAGCACTGCGCCACCAGGGAAGCCCTATATTCTTTTGATTAATTGTCATTATTAACATTTATTTAAATCTTATCTGCATTCTTTTTTTTTTAATTTATTTATTTAATTTATTTATTTTTGGCTATGCTGGGTCTTCGTTGCTGCACACGGGCTTTCTCTAATTGTGTCGACGGGCTTCTCATTGCTGTGGCTTCTCTTGTTGCGGAGCATGGGCTCTAGGCACATAGGCTTCAGTAGTTGTGGTACGCAGGCTCAGTAGTTGTGGCTCACGGGCTCTAGAGTGCAGGTTCAGTAGTGTGGCACACAGCTTAGTTGCTCTGCGGTATGTGGGATATTCCCAGACCAGGGCTCAAACCCGTGTCCCCTGCATTGGCAGGCGGATTCTTAACCACTGCGCCACCAGGGAAGCCCTGCATTCTTTTTTATATACACTGGTTTTATTTTAAAATATGATGATAGATTGTTCAAATTTAAGGTGCTTTCCTAAATTTAAAAATACCTATTTTCTTTAGGCTGGCAGCCTGGCTCTAAAGAGTAAAATAATGGTGATTATAATTTGAATTGTACTTGTAAATATTTTAGAGATAAAAGATTTGGAAACTGAAGCCAATTTGGTTTCAGCTGACACTGTGAAGTACAAGATAAACATTCTTCATTCTATCAAGTTTTCCAAAACCTAGACTATATTGTGAAAAGTAGAGTTCTAAATTCAACTGAATAACTATTATAGCCAAGAAGAAAGGAAAAAAATATAGAATAACTATAAATTTTTAAAAATTTTATTGAGGAGAGGATGGAATAGCCATGAAGTATTAAAAATTTTGCCTTAGCGGTCTTCACCTTGAACTGTTAGCTGAGAACACTGGTCTAATTTAAACCCTAGAATTGTTCTTTGAAATATTTTGTAATGAGATTATATAGATATATTTCAAAATGCAAGGTTGATATGCATAGATATTATTATCAGATACTATTACCTATTCTGAAGTTATAAAAGTTTTTGTATATTTAGTTTTAACACTGAACAAATATACTAGAACATTGATTGTTGCCTAATGCCCAGACCAGTGGAAATAGGATTATCCTCTCAATTTCTCCTTATGCTAAAATCTAAGCTTCTGAGGCTGTTACAATTTTTAGAGCAAAGATTTAGAAACAAAAAAGATACTTCCTCCAAGGAGTTCACTAAGACATTTTAAAATTTAATTATATCAAAAAAATTTAAAAACCTTATAAGTGCATAGAGAAGACTGGAATGGCTTTACAACTCATTAATTACATATTTTGTTTCACAAGGTTATGAGTATGTTGATTTTTCTTATTTTGGGATATGTGAATTGCTTAGATTTTTGACAATAAATGTATATTACTTTTATTTTCTTTTTATTCTTCTTGTGGTTCTTTGAGCATCTTTAATCTGCATTTTTTGGGGGGTTTTGTTGTTGCTGTTTTCATTTCTGGAATATTCTTAGACAATATATATTCAAATATTTCTTATACCCTGTTTTTTCTTTACCTTTTCTGGGACTCCAATTAAAATTTTTTTCTTCTCATAGCTTTTGGATGCTTTGTTCTTATTCCTCTCCCCTCCCCCAACATTCTTATCACTTTGTGGGTTTTTTTCAGCTAAAAGTACTATTTTGTTTTTTAATTTTTGTTTTAATTAATTAATTTATTTTTAACATCTTTATTGGAGTATACTTGCTTTACAATGTTGTGCTAGTTTCTGCTGTATCACAAAGTTAATCAGCTATATGTATACATATCTCCTCCCTCTTGCACCTCCCTCCCACCCACCCTATCCCACCCCTCTAGGTGGACACAAAGCACTGAGCTGATCCCCCTGTGCTATGTGGCTGCTTCCCACTAGCTATCTATCTTACATTTGGTAGTGTATATATCTCCATGCCACTCTCTCACTTTGTCCCAGCTTACACTTCTCAATCCCCGTGTACTCAAGTCCATTCTCTATGTCTGCGTCTTTATTCCTGTCCTGTCCCTAGGTTCTTCAAAACTATTTTTTTTTTTAGATTCCATATATATGTATTATCATACGGTATTTTTCCTCTTTCTGACTTACTTCACTCTGTATGACAGTCTCTAGGTCCTTCCACCTCACTACAGATAACTCAATTTCATTTCCTTTTATGGCTGAGTAACCATTGTACATATGGGATACATATATACACATGTATATATATATGTGCCACATCTTTATCCATTCATCTGTCGATTGACACTTAGGTTGCTTCCATGTCCTGGCTATTGTAAGTAGAGCTGCAATGAACGTTGTGGTACATGACTCTTTTTGAATTATGGTTTTCTCAGGGTATATGCCCAGTAGTGGGATTGCTGGGTCATATGGGAGTTCTATTTTAAGTTTTTCTAAGGAACCTCCATACTGTTCTCCATAATGGCTGTATCAATTTACATTCCCACCAACAGTGTATGAGGGTTCCGTTTTCTCCACACCCTCTCCAGCATTTATGTTTGTAGATTTTTTGATGATGGACATTCTGACCGGTGTGTGAGGTGATACCTCATTGTAGTTTTGACTTGCATTGCTCTAATTAATGATGTTAACCATCCTTTCACGTGTTTGTTGGCAATCTGTATATCTCCATTGGAGAAATGTCTATTTAGGTTTTCTGCCCATTTTTGGATCGGGTTGTTCGTTTTTTCATATTGAGCTGCATGAGCTGCTTGTGTATTTTGGAGATTAGTCCTTTGTTGCTTTGTTTGCAAATATTTTCTCTCATTCTGAGGGTTGTCTTTTCATCTTGTTTATGGTTTCCTTTGCTGTGCAAAAGCTTTTAATTTTCATTAGGTCCCATTTGTTTATTTTTGTTTTTATTTCCATTTCTCTAAGGTGGGTCAAAAAGGATCTTGCTGTGATTTATGTCATAGTGTTCTGCCTATGTTTTCCTCTAAGAGTTTTATGATGTCTGGCCTTAAATATAGGTCTTTAATCCATTTTGAGTTTATTTTTGTGTATGGTGTTAGGGAATGTTCCAATTTCATTCTTTTACATGTAGCTATCCAGTTTTCCTAGCACCACTTATTGAAGGGGCTATCTTTTCTCCATTGTATATTCTTGCCTCCTTTATCAAAGATAAGGTGACCATATGTGCATCTTTATCAAAATAAGGTGACCATATGTGCATGGGTTGATCTCTCAGCTTTCTATCCTGTTCCATTGATCTATATTTCTGATTTTGTGCAAGTACCATACTGTCTTGATTACTGTAGCTTTGTAGTATAGTCTGAAGTCAGGGAGCCTGATTCCTCCAGCTCCGTTTTCTCAAGATTGCTTTGGCTATTCAGAGTCTTTTGTGTTTTCATAAAAATTGTGAAATTTTTTGTTCTAGTTCTGTAAAAAATGTCATTGGTAGTTTGATAGGGATTGCACTGAATCTGTAGATTGCTTTGGGGAGTATAGTCATTTTCATAATGGTGATACTTCCAATCCAAGAACATGGTATATCTCTCTATCTGTATTGTA